CAAAACGACGTCGTTTTGGTAGGGTATAAAAGGCAGTCCTCTTCGTTTTTCGGTAGAACACCCCTCCCCTCTCTCTCTCTTCTTCCCTTTTTCTCTCCCTTCTCTCTAAAGGCTGAAGAACTCCGGTGGGGATTTCGTCGGATTCTGGAAATTGTCGCCGAAATCTAGAAATTTTACCGGAAGTTGGCCGGAAGATCACCGATTTCTGGGAACCTCCACCGAAAACTGGGCAGGTCCACCGAAAACTTCAAGGTTGGCCGGAATTTCCGCCAGAAAATTCAAACTTTTGGCCGGAAAAATCAACCGGAATCTGGAATTTCCAAAAATTCCCAGAAAAAAATTTCAAAAAATTCCCAAAAATTTTTTGATGATTCCTAGAACTCTCCTAAACCTTTTCTTAGCCTTCTATACTCTCCTATTCGCCTTTTCCCCTCAAATTAGTAGCTCAGGCTCACTGTTTTTTTCTCTGTTCTTCAATCTGTTCCAAAGGGTCCCTTTTATAGGGATTGATCAGGAGTTTCCTGATCAATCCAATTCCTCCTTGGACGGGAATTCAATTCTTTGAATCCAACTGGACTCTTCTGATTGAATTCCCATTGCCAGTGGGATTCTTCAACTTCAATCTCAGCCCTCCAAAATCAAAATAAAAAAACTAGATAATTAGAAAAGATAAATAAAAAATTATTATAGGATAAATAAAAAATAATATCAGATATATAATTAGATAAATAAAATACAAAAATAAATAAAATAAAAAGATAAAAAATAATAAAAATATATATATTACTAATAATACATAAATAATAAAATACATAGGATATATAAAATATAAAATAAATAAAAATGACCAAGATAAAATTGAACTACCCACTTGGACCCAAGCCCCAATTAATCTAGGCCTGAACCAAATTGGGTGTCTTACAGCTGCCCTCTTTGCACATTTTCTGTGAAACAGAAATTGCGCAAAGATGTAGACACCCAATCAAGACTCCAACTCAACATTTCTTTTTTTTTTTGTTTTTTTTTTTTTTTTTTTTTTTTTTTTTTTTTTTTTTTACCAAAGCTCCTCTAAACAGAGGCTCAACGACTTTGAGAAACATAAATTGCTCCTCCAAACAGAGTACCACGACTTTGAAAAATAAATTGCTCTTCTAAACAGAGGCCACCACGACTTTGGAAAAGTAAATTGCTCCTCTAAACAGAGGCACCACGACTTTGGAAGTAATTGCTCCTCTAAACAGAGGCACCATGACTTTGGAAAGTAAATTGCTCCTCTAAATAGAGGCAACGAACTTGGAAAATAAATTGCTCCTCTAAATAGAGGCAACGAAACTTTGGAAAGTAAATTGCTCCTCTAACCAGAGGCAACGAACTTGGAAAGTAAATTGCTCTCTAAACAGAGGCAACGACTTTGGAAAAGTAAATTGCTCCTCAAAGAGGCAACGAACTTTGAAAAGTAAATACTCCTACAATCATGTCCAAAGGAGTTGAAAGTTGTGTTTGAAGGAATTTCAGGAGATTATGCCCAAAGGTCTTATAAATCAACCCTGATACCAAAAGACATCCTATTTCAAGGATTAGGAACTTACCTGACAAGTTTCTTCTCAAACTTGCAAAATATCTTCATATTTGTCTTCTCCATGTGGGATGTTGGAACACCCCTGCTTCTTGAATTTATACACTATACTTTCCTGAAAGTAGTGTATGCTATGCAAATGCATATGAATTTCAATGCATGCTATGCAAATGTTGGCCAATTAATTCCTGTTCAATGTATGGTACTCAAGTTTCTCAAGCTCTTTTCTTTCTTGGGTGTCAAGCCCTTTGATTCTTCAAGGATCCAATTGCACTGCTCTTCTAAGATCGAACCAGTGTAGCTCTCAATTATCCTTTCCACTCACATTCTTTCCTTGTTCAGTTTCTCAATACTTTGGAATAAGCTTCATCAATCGATCATCCCTTGACCATCATTCAATGAATTTCTCAGCACTAGCAAATTTCAAAACAAATTTCATCCACCATCACTGGGTCCTTATCTCAGCACCAACCATTCCCAAAACAAACTCTATCCACTGATTGTTCCCATCATTTGACCAATTCATCCTTGTACTCATCACTTGGTTGTATCACTTTTCAAGATTTGCCCCATCATATTCTCTATTTGGTCACATCATACATCTTTCTAAATCATCTCTTTTAGGTTTCTACCATTTCTTCATCATCTTAGATTTTTTTTCAAATGAATGTAAGATTCTTTTAAACACATATTCATTCATTCATTATCATTTCAATTCTTGACAAATATAATGCAATCAAGCATTTTCTCAATTCATTCAGGTAAACAATAAGAAGAACGAATGTGTTATGGTAAAGTAATCAAAATCTATAGAAAATAATGGAAAGGAAAAAATTGGTGTCATTGAGTGCAATGGTATGTCCAAATGATGAATATTCAGACAATTGCAACATTAATCTAGGATTCTTTTTCAAAACTCATTATTTACATGTTGAAGTCATTCCTGAGCTTGGGAATCGCCTCCATTACTTTGAGGATCTTCAGATGTCTTTGATCTTTCATTCATGTTGAGCTTTGTGATTATTTTTTTTTTGGTACATCACCATTTCAGGTTTCAATGAATCTCCTTTTTTTTTTTTTTTTTTTTTTTTTTCTTTTTTTTTTTTTTTTTTTTTTTTTTCTTTTTTTCACTTTTCTCATTTTTCAGCATTGTTGATATCTTTCATTAGCATGATTGAATGATCAATATGAGCATTGTTTTGCTCAACCTATGATCATTCAAGTTGAGTATTCACATTTGATCCAAATGGACTTTTCAAGGTTGTAATGTAGGCCAAGGTGAAGGGTCATAAAAAATGGATATAATAGGCTCAAAACATGTATTAAAAAGGTTCAAGATCGAAGGATCATTTGATGCAGCTTGGCATTTTGCCCCACATCGTTTCATTACTTTTTTTTCCTCACACAAAGGATTCTCATTACTTTGCCCCAAGTCATGTGTGGCATTTATTTTTTTCTTTTTCCATTTTTGAGACCTTTTGTGAAATTTTTTTCAAAAATTGCCCCCCGTGTAGAAGGTGATCCTTGGTTAGGGTTCTTCAAAAAAAATGATAAGCTCAAAGGGGTACAATAAATGGTTTTTCAAATGGTAAAAGAAAGATGGCCATTTTTCATCTCAATTGTGAGTACCTTTCTTGAACATCATCTATTGAACAAAGCTCATGAACTTGTATAAAAGATTGCACACCTTCAAGACATATCTATTTCACCTTCAGTAACAGCTTACTTTTTGCTCAAATCATTTCCTCACATTGACGTGGATGAGTTCTCAAAATTAAATCCCAAAAATTATTGTTATCATTGTCTAAATATTCATCATCTGAAATTTAAGAATGGGAATGTGAAGTTATGGAAGGTAACAGGGCATGGAATAATGGTCAAGTGAAGAGAAAAATGTAATGAAATGCATTGACTTGCCTTTATTAAAATGATAACAAGTGAAATCATATTGCAAAAAGAAATCTAACATTATTTGAAAAGAAAATCCTAAAATGACAAAAGAAAACCCTTTAACCCGCCTTATCTCCATTAAAAATTAGCTCCCTGTATGATCAGGTGAAGAAATCCCCATTGACATCTTGCCCCTCAATTCATTGTGACTCTCCAGATCCTTTCTGTTCTTGACTTTCACTCAGTACGCTAACATGAGATGTTTGTTGCTTTTCCCTGATCAAAACTTACCATTCCATCATTGATCAACCGTTGCACCTTATGCTTTAAAACAGTACAATTTTAGTAGAATGGCCAGTAATTCCATAATGGTAGTCACAACGGGCTGTAGGATCATACCACTTTGGATAGGGTGGTTTAAGCGGTTCCACATGGCTGGGGGCAATCAAATGGCTATTATAAAGCTCTCGATATAACTCTGTATAAGTCATAGGGATTGGATCAAATACAGGTTTTTCTCGAGTAGTCCGTTGTTCTCGTGAGCCACTGGCTGGGTTAGTAGGGCGGATTTGGGTTCTTACAGGAGCTTGAATGTTAAGGCGATAAGTGGATGAATAAGATGGTTGTGGAGCTAGCTGGTATGGGTAGGATGAGGCATTATTCACAGCAGGATAGTATGGAGAGTAACCTTGGGATGGATAGGGTTGATAACCCCTGAATTGTTGTCTATCAAAGCTCACAGCTTGAGCTTCAGCTTCTTTCTTTTCTGATGCCTTCTTGGTTTCTCCTCCTTTCAACTTGCCATTTTTTATGGCACTTTCAATAATTTCTCCAGAGATCACCATGTCAGCAAAATTCTTTGTTGCATTCCCTATCATCTTTTCATAATAAGGAGGTTTCAAAGTGCTAACAAACAGCACTGTGGTCTCTTTTTCTGTCAGAGGAGGTTGTACCTGTGAAGCCACATCCCTCCACCTTTGGGCATACTCTTTAAAGGATTCGTTTGCCTTTTTCTCCAGGTTCTGCAAAGACAAACGATCAGGAGCCAAATTGATAATATGTCGATATTGACTGATGAAGTCATGTGCCATGTCGCTCCAAGAGTGAATACGAGTCCTGTCCAGCTGAACATACCATCTGGCCGCAGAGCCAATAAGACTGTCCTGGAAAACATGCATCAAGAGTTTTTCATCATAAGCATGAGCTGCCATCTTCCTGCAATACATGGTGATGTGGGTTTTGGGGCACTTGGTACCACCATATTTTTCAAATTTTGGTACTTTGAACTTATAAGGAATAATCACATCAAGAACTAGGCAGAGCCCAGCAGCATCAACTGACCCATAAAAGCTAAATCCTTCCACAACCCTTAGCCTTTGCTCTAGCATGCTAATCTTGAAACTTTTCTCAGCTTCTACTATCATCTTTTTCTTTTTCTTCTCTTTTAAATCATCTAGATCAGGAATTGGTTCTGCTATCTTTTCAGTAAAAATAGGATTTATATAACTATTATACTATCCTGGGTTAAAAGCTGATGGCATTTCATGATGTGCGAAATGTTGTGGCGGGACCTTTTGAGCAGACTGGGCCTGAGGTGGACCAAAACCTGGAGGTACAAAGGGTCAGCCACTTCTTGTAATGGGGAAACTTGTTGGCTTGTATTTTCTGCAACTCCTTTTCCTTTATTCATGTTATTAAGAGCCTCCAGAATCTTGCTTAGTTTACTTTCAATCTTCTTCTGAGCTTTTTCTAGCTTTCGAATCTATGAGAATTTTCTTCCTCCATTTGCCTTGCTCTGGACCTTGTGTTGTATGGATGAGCAGGGTTTTCACTAGATGGAGCTATCCTGGGACCTTGAGTACCATACTTATGATTAGAAATGTTATGCTATGCTTTATGTATGGTGCTCAAATGAAATGCACATTTTTCTAAATGAAATCTAGTATGAAATGGATGCAAATGATTGTGTTAAAACATGGTCATGAAAATAATGCAGATGCATAAAATCAGACAAACAATACAGTTAGTTTCATGGATGAGATGAAAATGATGCTGATGCATAATGTTACATATGGTAATGAAAATGATACACAAAGTTAAACAATCAAAATGATTAGATAAACACCTTTTTTGTGTCCTAATTTTAGGGTATATCTATCATTGGGTAGAAAGAGCTCTATCCTAGGTGTAGGCACTCTTAAAGTTCACTACATGCGGTTTTAAGGTCAGAGTCTAAAGGTCCTCAATTGTTCCTTACATCCTTGTCCATCACAGACTAGTAAGGCACCCTAATCTTCACCCATTACAGGCTACAAGCGAAAAATGTTCAATTTGAATGGGAGTATTTCGCTAGCCACTACGGAGGCATTAGATCTCACGAAAGCAATAGGTACTTTACTCCCTCCTAGAGGGACGGAGCTCGGTGTAGAGCTCATGTTATGCACATGCACATGAATGACATAATTAACAAAGCAAATAAACATGAATGAATAATAACACATATATACAACAAGGTTCAATTTTATTAGGCTTTTGGATAACATAAATTATTTGCTGGCCTGACTCTCAAGATCCCCAGTGGAGTCGCCAAGCTGTCATAACGTCTAGATCCGGGGATCTATCGCTAGACATTGACTTTTAGGGAGTCGCCACTAATCTTTTTTATCTAGGTGTGATTGGCCACCTAAAGAATCTGTTCTTTCAGGGAACACCTAAGTTTAAGGATCCCTAAAAGAATAGGTTCAGGTCTAGAAACCAGAACAGGGTTCGGGAGTTCGGTTACGTGTGAGGAAGGTTATAGCACCCTCACAACGCCCATCAAAGATGGTACCAGCTTAAATTTGTGTTATCCCAAAAGCCTTAAAATTTTACCAAGTAATTAATTATTGGAAAATTATTCTCAATTGACTCTAATACTTTTAGCAGAAAATTGAGAAAATTCCCTCACCTCAAGAGTATGCAAGAAAAACTACTGTTTCACTTGCAGAGGCTCCGTCGTCGGATTATTTAAAGAAAAATCAAAATCAAAATCAAAATAGAAGAAAAGAAGGATTTTTTTTGTGAGGAAAATTGATACTTTCAACTTTTCCCCAAAAATATTTTTTGAAATTTATTTCAAGGAAAATTGATACTTTCAACTTTTCCTCAAAAATTTTTTTTTGAAAATTTATTTAAGGAAAATTGATACTTTCAACTTTTCCCAAAAATATTTTTTTTGAAATTTTATTTTTAAAAGGAAAATTGATACTTTCAACTTTTCCCTAAAAATATTTTTTGGAAATTTATTTCTTAAGGAAAATTGATACTTTCAACTTTTCCCTAAAAATATTTTTTTTGAAATTTATTTCTAAGGAAAATTGATACTTTCAACTTTTCCCAAAAATATTTTTTTTGAAATTTATTTCTAAGGAAAATTGATACTTTCAACTTTTCCCTAAAAATATTTTTTTTGGAAATTTATTTCTTTTAAGGAAAATTGATACTTTCAACTTTTCCCTAAAAATATATTTTTTGGAATTTTTTATTTTATTTAAAGAAAATAAAATAATAAAAAATAATAAAAATAAATAAAAAGAATATTACATAAACCTAATCTAATAAATAAAAAATAAACAAAAAAAAAAAATAAAAAAAAAAAAAAAAAAAAAAAAAAAAACCTGGAGCGGCTCGGATCGGCTCGGCTCGGCTCGGCTCAAGGAAGAAAAACGGCTCGGGGGAGCGGCTTGGGAACCTCGGCTTGGCTCGGAGGGGGCTGGCACGCGCGGGTCAGGAACCGGGTCGACGCCGGGTCCGGTCGGGTTCGGCAAAACGCGCGGATCCTCTGGGTTACTTAAGGCCAAAACGACGTCGTTTTGGGAGGGTATAAAAGGCACCTTCCTCCGTTTTTCGGCAGAACGCTCCTCCCCTCTCTCTCTCTTCTTCCCTTTTTCTCTCCCTTCTCTCTAAAACTGAAGAACACCCGGTGCCGGATTCTGGAAATTTCGTCGGAATCTGGAAATTTCGCCGGAAGTTGGCCGGAAGATCGCCGGTTTCTGGGATTCTTCGTCGGAAACTGGGCTGGTGCCGGAAACTTCAAGTTGGCCGGAATTTTGCCGGAAAATTCAAACTTCGCCGGAATTTTGCCGGAATCTGGAAATTTCCCAGAAATTTCCAAAAAATTTTTCGCCAAAAATTTCTAAAAATTTTTCTCACTCCCAGAACACTCCTAAACTTTTCCTAGCTTCCTATACGCCTCCTTTTCTCTCAAATCAGTAGCTTTGCTTACTGTTTTCTGTGTGTTCATTCTGTTCCAGGGGTCCCTTTTATAGGGATTGATCAGGAGTTCCTGATCAATCCCAATTCCTCCTTGGACGGGAATTCAATCTTTGAATCCAACTGGACTCTTCTGATTGAATTCCCCTCCAAGTGGGATTCTTCACTTCAATCTTAGCCCTCCAAAATCAAAATAAAAAAATAATAATTAGAAAAGAAAATCAAAATTAAAAAATAAAAATAATATCAGATAATTCAAAAAAAAAATAAATTAACAGATATAAAAAAAATAATAAAAATAAAATAAGATAAACCCAAAAATATATTACAAAAAAAAAAAATAATAATAATAATATATAACTATATAAATAATAATACATATAAATCTAATCTAAATAAAAATAAATAAATAAATAAAATATACATAATAATAATAATAATAAATACATAAAATACAAAAGAAAAAAATACAGGATTGAAATGGGCCTTACCCATTTGGGCCAGGCCCAATTGATCTGGGCCCGGACCCAATTGGGTGTCTACAATATGTTGATGATATGTTGATTGTAGGACAAGATGCTAGTATGGTTTACAGGTTGAAAGAACAATTGTCTAAGTCCTTTGATATGAAGGATTTAGGTCCAGCAAAGCAGATTCTTAGTATGGATATTATCCGGGATAGGAGAGCTGGAAAGTTGTGGTTATCACAGGAAAAGTATGTTGAACGAGTGCTTGGTAGATTCAACATGCAATATGCTAAATCAGTTAGCAGTTCACTTGCCAACTATTTTCATCTAAGTAAGAAATCTTGTCCAGTGTCTAAGGAAGAGCAACTAGCTATGTCTAGTATTCCTTATTCTTCTGCAGTCGATTCTTTAATGTATCTTATGGTTTGTACAAGGCCTGACATTGTTTATGCAGTTGGTGTAGTGAGCAGATTTCTTTCTAATCTATGGAAGGTTCACTAGGAAGCAGTGAAATGGATTTTTAGATATTTAAAGGGTACCTCAAAAATGTGCTTGACTTATGGAGTTTTACAACCAGTTCTAGAAGGGTTTACTGATGCTGACATGGTAGGCGATCTTGATGGTAGGAAATTTACTTCAGGGTATTTATTCACTTTTACAGGAGGAGCTGTATCTTGGCAATCTAAGTTGCAGAAGTGTGTTGCTTTGTCAACTACAGAGGCTGAGTATATTGCAGCAACCGAAGCATGTAAAGAAATGCTTTGGATGAAACGTTTTCTTCTTGAATTAGGGGTTTAAATCAGAAAGAGTATGTGGTATTTTGTGATAGCCAGAGTGCTTTAGATTTGAGTAAGAATACCATGTACCATGCTAGAACAAAGCACATTGATGTTAGATATCATTGGTTATGTTCAGTGATTGAAGAACAGCAGATGCTATTGAAGAAAGTCCATACTGATAAAAATGTGGCAGATATGTTGACTAAGATACTTCCCAGGGAAAAGCTTGAGCTTTGCCAGTAACTTGGCCGGAATGAGTTTCCCTGGCCAAGGTAAGTTCCAAATGAAACTGCTATGGTGATGAATCTCCTCCTAATGGGGCTGGAGGGGAGATTGTTAGGAAAATGGGTCCAGTCCCATGTAAGTGGTTTTGGACCAAGTAAAGGCCATGGGCCTTGATCTTTTTATTTTACACAGAGCCCTAGCTACTTAATAAAAAAAGAGGTGGGTTGTTTTATGTGTGTGTCGAAAACCAAGCAGAAAAAGAAGAAAAGCCAGGAAAAGCAGAGAGAGAAAAAGGAGAAGGGAGAGTTGGTTGAACGGAAGTCAATCCGTGGTCCGATTGAGTTGGAACCTTGTCAGGAGGTTTATGATTCAGAGTTCTACATTCTGAACGGTGAAGATCGGGTTGAAGCTCTCTAGGAACAAATCCAGGGTGTATTTGTTGAGTCACTTATTTGGTGAGATTTCTCCAATTGTTTCTCTAGTTGTTGATTAGCTCTAGTTTTAGCTAGAGAAGAACTTTGTATAACTATTATTTGATAGTGAAGATTTTTCTGGCGGCCCGTGGTTTTTTTCCCTCTACACTGAAGGTTTTCCACGTAAATCTTGGTGTGCTTTATTTTTCCTGCGTATTTGATTATTGATTGTTGGTCTATTGCTTCTATATTGTTTGATTATTGCTTCAGGCGCAACACTTGTAGCAGCTTGTATGGATGAATTGTACATAGTTATGTCTACTTGCATATCATAGATGGTTTTCCATGCTTGTTTTTATTGCGGTGATTTAATAATTACGTCAATGATATGTATTTTATATGCTATATTATATGGACTCTTGTGATAGGACGTGAAATATGAATAAATTTTTTTTGACAATTTTTTATATTAATTTTGAAAATCAAAGTATTATATATATATATATATATGAATAGTGAAGCATTCAAAAATATTAAAACCCATGCGAGTATCTTCAAATAATATGAACCAAATTGAATTTAAAATTAATTATGCCACAAATTTACATTCAATATACTTTGTGGAGATTTTTTGCTTTAAGTTGTGGCTAAATTTGTAGAAATATATCATGCAATAATGATGATGAATTTATGACATTTAAAAAGAATGACTAAAAATATAAACCAAATCAAAACATGTAAATGGCTAAAATACTATTATGTAGTTCAACTATTAGAATATATAATTTTTTAAATTTCACTGAGATCTTTAAGATTTTTTACAATTCATCTAATTAATGGGAATTTTGGGTGGTTCATTTGAAGAAGAGAACATGGTACTCAAAGGCCATCACTTTCCTCAAAAGACCAAGGGATAATAAATATGTTGGAAGGAGCATCATTGTGAAAAAGGACAAAAGGTTTTGGCCCTCTTTTTTATTATTTTTCATTTAGTTTTATTGGCGTCAGCAATATAAATACATTTTCTCCGATTGTTAATTAATTGAACATTAGCCATATTTCATCCAATTTGCTCACGTCCTGAATCCAGCCATGTATTAAATATCATGTTTTTAAACAGTGTGAAAATGAAATAATTAATGAAAATGCATTTGCATACATGTAAATATTTCTTTAGTTTAAAATTTGAATATTTGGTTACTAAATTTATTGATTTATTTATTATTTATTATAAAAAAATGCATTTCCATAGACAAAAATCAAAATATAAACTATTCTTATTTTAGGCCAAATAATGTACAATTAACCTCAAAAGCTTGCCATACTTTTTTAATAAAAAATCATGAATTAAATCAAACAAAAATCGACACATATTAAATAAATTTAATAAAAAATTTAAATTAAAATTCATATATGATGAGGATTGAATTTAAAAATTTAATATTATCAGATTTATAAATATTAGAATGTTGATAATGCACAAAGGTTACTTCCAAAAACACAAAAATATTTTCATTGTATCACTAAATTTTTTTAAAAAAAAAAAGCAACAATGAAAAAATAAAAAGTGATAAAGTTAAAAGATTATAAGGTGAATTAAATTGGTCATTTGTGTCTGTTAGTTTATATTGCATCATTAATTTGTTTTATGTTACATAAACATACATTTTTGCTATTCTCAAAAGAATTATATAAAGTAGCAAAAGATGATTTAAAAAATATATTTTTTATAAATAAAATAAGATAATATCCTAAAAAAATATTCTTGAGACCCTACCTAAATATTGGAGGCATTCTCAATAATTATTCCTTATGAAAAATATTATCTTTGATTTTAAAGATTATCATGAAAATACCCAAGTGAAAAACATTTTTTCTAAATTTTAAAAAGATATTGAGGAATTCAAAATGAAAAAATTTCATTTTATTTCTAAATAAAGCGATTCTAAAAAGGATGGAAAAAAAGGTTTATGATAATAAATGGGATTCAAAAAAATATTTTTAAAATTAAAATTAAGGTCATTTTTTATCAAGAATAAAGGATAACATTTATTAATTAGTATAATTTTTAATGGGTACTATGAGGTGTTAATACTTTTTCACATGCAAATTGTACTCTTAAATCTAGATATCTTCTTGCATACCAAAAAAATATTTTTAATAAGTTTTAATAAGTTTTAATTAAATTAGTATTAATTAGGCATTGCTCCCGACTCCTAACAAAAGGAAAAGATGCTTGGTCCTTGTTTAGTTGTCTTCCACTAAGGATTTGAACGAGTAAAATGATAATAATGATGATAAAGGAGAATCTAAAGAAATTAAACAAGTCTTTGATCAAACTTTTCTTTATAGTTTCAATCAGTCATAAAGATTTCAAGCACAACTTCTCAATATTTGTGGATACTTGAAGCTCTTTGTTCATTTGAAACAAGCTTGGTTTCTACTTAAGTTTTCTTTGGACTCAAAAAAAAAAAAAAATCTGTGTGGACCGAAATAAAAAGCCCGATTTTGGATCCTGAAAATCCATATTTCCTAGGTATATTTGTCTCTACAATAAAAGAAGCGAAAATAGTATAGCTGTATAATTTTTGGTTTCTTTGGTTTCTATTTTTTATTTTATTTCATGCTATATCTATTCTGATTTGCATTTTTTAACTCCAAAAAAAGAACATAAAATTCAATGTTCTTATAATCTTATTGTCACTAATCTTTATTTCCTTTTTCTTTTAATTTCTATTAAGGATGTCCTAGACTGGTTAAAAAGGGCAGAGAAAGAACTGGAAGAAACCCAGTGTCTGGAAGCTGAAATAGAACGTATGAAGTGTTTCAATTGGTGTCCAAGTTGGGGTTGGCGATATTGCTTACGTAAGAAAGTGGCAAAGAAGACGATCTCTATCGATAAACTACTTGTGAGTTGTAACTTTCCACGGGTGGGGCACCGTGCTCCTCTAGAAGGAATAGAATTCTTCACCTCTAAAGATTTCATGCCTAATGAGTCTTCAAATTTTACTTTCAATGAGATCATCAAGGCTCTAAACACTGATGGTGTGAACATGATTGGATTGTATGGAATGCCAGGGGTAGGCAAAACAACTTTGGCAAAAGAAGCTGGGAAGCATGCTAAAGAGCAAAAGCTCTTTGACAAAGTTGTGATGGCTACAATGTCCCAAGCGCCAAACCTCAGCAAAATTCAAGATAAAATTGCAGAATTATTAGGTTTGAAATTTGAAGCAAGCACGAAAGAAGGAAAAGCAGAAGAGTTACAGCGGAGATTGCAAGGCGTGGAGAAGATCCTCATAATTATCGATGATGTTTGGAATGAATTTAAATTGCAGACTGTAGGTATTCCATTCGGAGTTGAACACGGAGGTTGCAAAGTTCTTCTGACCACACGTCTTTAACAAGTCTGTGTTCGTATGAATTGCCAACAGAAATTTAAACTTGACATCTTATCCGAAGGTGAAGCGTGGGCTTTTTACTTGACATCTTATCCGAAGGTGAAGCATGGGCTTTGTTCAAAGATACTGTTGGTCTAAAAGATGTTTCTTTGAGATTGAATGATGTAGCCAAGGAGGTTGCTAGTGAATGCAATGCAATTGCAACAATCGGAAAAGAATTAAAAGGTGCAAGTCTAGATGGGTGGAAAGCAGCAAATAAGCGACTCAAGGACTCAAGACATTTAGACAATGAAGAGGTTTCTCAAGGTATCTACAACTGCCTTAAGCTGAGTTATGATTATTTGAAGGGAGATAATATTCGAACATGTTTCTTGCTATGTTCCCTTTTTCCAGAAGATTGGGATATTGATATTGAGTCGTTGGTTATGTTTGCAATTGGTCATGGATTATTTTCTCATATTTACTTAATTGAAGACTTGCGGAGAGAAATTCGTGAAGCACTAAGAAAACTCCAAGAGGCTGGTTTGTTATTAAGAACTGATAATGATGATGATGAAAGATATGTAAGCATGCATGACGTGGTTCGTGATTTTGCTCATTGGATAACATCTACGGGGAAAAATATATTCATGGTAAAAGAGGGGTTGATGGAATGGCCTATAAGTGAAAGATGTGAATCCCATACAGCAATCTCCTTTTGGAACAGCAAAATAAATATTTTTCCTGAAAAGTTAGAATTTCCAGAACTCAAAATTTTGATTTTTACAGGAAAGACTTTGGTGGAAGCCGCGATTGCATTTGTTGAAGGAATGAAAGCCCTCCGAGTTTTGCATCTCCAAGATGTCATTTTCTCACTAGAAGTACTTAAATTCGTAACAAATCTTCGAACTCTGTGTCTAGTAAATTGTGAGTTGGAGAACATCTCATCGTTGGGAAATTTGAAAAACCTTGAGATTCTTGCATTTTCTGATACTAATATTTATGAGCTACCCGAAGAATTAGTGGCATTGCGAACAGATCAATTTTCCCCCTAATTTACTATCAAGGTAATAGTAGATGTCAATTTCTTTTTAGCATATTGCACAAAATTAAGTATTTAGTTTTATGTTATTTATTTTTCTTTTATTTATTAAACTATGGGATACATATCTAACATAAGCTTTCGGTCACTCCCATTATTATGAACCATTCGAAGTTGTAGCCCTTTTTTTAAGAAAAGGTGCTGAAGAATCAGGCTATATTTGCTGAGATAATTAAAATTAATTTGTGTTTACTTCTATTTTTATGATTCGCTTGAAGTGTTTGATAATAGTTTTTTGTATTTGTGTGTAACAAACAGGTTGACATCACTCCAACAGCTACACGTGACTTGTGAAAACAATGTTAATTTATCAGAGTTGAATTCATTGTCTCGATTGACTGCGCTATCACTGAGAGTTTCTACTGCTCAATGTTTTCCAGAAAACTTTGTGTTCCCTAAATTACAAAGCTACATTATAGCTATAAATGAAGATCTTCAATTTATGCCGGAGCTAAAATTGAGAACCTTGAACATCGGACGTTTCTCATTTCATTTAGTGCATTCAAGGAGTTGTTTTGCAATGTGGAAAAGTTGAATCTGGAGGATGTCAAGGGACACAAAAATATTGTCCCAAACGTAGATCCAAAGGGCCTAAATGAATTAACTTCTCTTGAGCTTGGAGATTGCGATGATATGGAATGCTTGATGGATACAACAGGAGAGAAAGAAAGAACCACTGCATTCTCTAATTTGGTGAAATTAAGAATGGAGGACATGACTTGTTTGAAAGGATTGTGCCATGGTCCGCCTCCGATTAGCTTCTTATAAAAGTTAAAAGATGTGACCATTGGAGATTGTAAGCGGTTGAAAGTGGTATTTGAAATGGATGTGCTTCTTGAAAAGGAAAAAATTAGTCAGATGCCACTACTCTCAAATCTAACAAGCTTGTATCTATACCTTTTACCAGAATTGGAGAGTATTGGAAATTACAATCAACCCATCAATATCATGCAAGCCTCCAAAGTCTAAAGGTTGTAAACATTTGGAACTGCGGTGAATTGAAAGCCATCTTCCCGCCTTGCCTTGCTCAAAGTTTGTTGCATCTACAAGAACTCTCCATACATTTCTGTAATGGATTAGTGCAAATCATTGATTTTCCCCATGAAATGGGTGAGCTTGAGGTACCTATTCTCTTTCCATTTCTCCTTTAATGAATAATGAGAAATTACTAAACTTTATATATTGATCATATAATTAACTTCTGTTGAAGTTTAAAAGAAATAAAGTTTAATTAAATTATATTAGTAACTAAACTAAATTTATACTTATTACATGGCTTACAAGTTAGTAACTAAACTAAATTTGTACTTATTACGTGGCTTGCAAGTTGAGAAAGCTAACACTATATACCATGTCATGTCTTAACTATATTATTTGTCACTATTCATGCTTTCTAGGTTCTAGTTATATTCAACTTAATTTGGATTGTTTAAATTTCTACAATAATAAATTTTTAGTGAATTTTCAGCTAAACACCAAAAATTTTGTTACTAATTATTTATTTTTTGATCGAAAAAGTAAGGGTCAATCTTTAAATAGTTAATATTAATAATTTTTTTATGATAATGTTAATATGGATATAAAAAATACATCATTTTATTAAATTGTAAAAGACATTTATATTAATAGAATATTCATAAACTATTAAATCTTATAACGTTGAACCAAAAATAAAACATCAAATAATAATAATTTCGTTTATATATATATTTGATTGAACAATAAACCATATATAATTATTAATTTGTTCATAACCATTTGCTTTTATTAGTTCTTATTTTTTACAAACTTTAACATATATATTTGCTTTTTATTAAAACATAAATCAAAGATACATGTATAAAAAAAACCAAATATACAAATTGAGAACGCATATATAGTTAAAATCTTTTGAACTTATTCATAACAAATATCCAACTTAACTAAATATATAAAAATATATAAATCAAATTTTTTTAACAATAAATCAAATCAAATGTAAATATCATATAATAGAAATAAAATCAAATAAACAGTTTGAAGGAACAAACAAATGAAGGAAATAAAATAAAATATGAAAAAAAGTAATGATCCATACCTATTACCGAGTTGAAACCAATCCAAATGTATGTACGTTTTCTTTCCATTTTTGAAATTTGATAAAAAAATTAATGTCATTTAAGCAAAAATTATATAAAAGTAAAAGCAATTCAACACCATCACATACTTATTTTTGCAAATAAAAAAGAAAATAAAAGAAATAAAAGAATAATAAAGGCAAAAATGAACTTGTTCATAGTATGATGTGATTTACTCTTCTTTCTAACTTTTGTCCATTCCCGTGAAAACCAATAAATCATAACCTTCAAGTAAAAAAAAAAAAAAGCTTGTATTCTTAAATTTCTAATTCTAATAACAACAAATAAAATAAGCTTGGCTAGAAGGTGACCTCTCACTTTATAAACTCTTTACTTTCAATTTTAGATTCTAATTTCATCAAATAAAAATTTATTAAGTGTATGTATATATATATATATATATATATTTGAAACTATGATTAAATTTTAAAAGAAAAGATAAATTATGATTTAATATATTTAAATTCAAAACTTATATAAAATTTTCAACTTTTGGTAGAGTTTGATTTGAATTTAAATAGTCATCCAAAAATATTAAATTTAGATAATTTATTAAATAGAATTATTTGACGGTAGATAAAAATATATTAAGCATATAAATACATATATATTTTTGGAACAATGATTAATGTAAAAAGAAAAAATAAATTATAATTTAATATATTTGAATTTAAAATTTATGCAAAATTTTTTTATAGATTTTGATTTGAATTTAAATAATTATTCTAAAATATTAAATTTAAATAATTTATTGAATAGAGTTATTTGATAAATAATATAATAATATAAACATTATCCTACAAAGAAATTATTTAAGTAAACGTATATATCAATACATCTTATTTGATAATCTAATATATATATATATATATATATATATTATAACAACATACAAGATTACATGATCAAAATTGCTTATGTAGATGTCTAGGTGGATAACCTATTTTAATAACGTATAAGATAATATTTATATTATTTTATTTATCAAATAAAATTTTTTAATAATTATTTAAATTGAACATTTTGGATAATTATTTAAATTGAAATCAATATCTATGTCATATTGAAATTTTTGAATAAAATTTGAATTCAAATATATTAAATCATAATTTATCTTTTCTTTTTAAATTTAATGACGGTTTCTAATATATATACTTAATAAAATTTTATTTTCTGTCAAATAATTCTACTTAATAAATTATTTAAATTTAATATTTTTAGATAATTATTTAAATTCAAATTAAAATCTATCAAAAATTAAAAATTATTTAATAAATTATTTAAATTTAATACTTTTAGATAAGTTAATGAATTATTACTAAAAAGCTTGTATTTTTAAAGAATAAAAGCTTACATCTTTATTTGAAAATATGAGACATTTGAATGTTGATAAAAAAGTTAGATAAAAATATAATTCTACTTTGAAAACAAATATAATGTTTTATTTATGTTCTAATTCAAATATTTTTATATTATATATTTGGTTAATTTATTTGTTTTTCTTTAACTGATAACTTTTTTTAGTTTTGCTTAGATTGATTATAATTAAATTTTTGTATTATATATCTTTTGTTTTATTCATTTCTTCAATGTTTTTATTCTTTGTTAATTTATTAACATATTTACTTTTATTATATATATTTAACCTTGATAAATTAATATGTAAATTTATATTCTCTATTTTCTTTTGTTATACTTTTTATTATTGAATTTCTTTGTCTACAATAGATGATTTGAGAAGAATAATGATCACTACCATATCTAACTCACAAAAAATATTATCAATTATGTTAAAAATTATTAAAAATAAAAAATATATTTCAAAAAAAGGTTTTAAAGTATAACATAAAGAATTATTGTTTCCCTTTTATCTAAAACATAACTTTATTTGTTGACATTTATAGAAATAATTGTTAACCCAATATATTTATGTAATAATTACTTGAAGTAGTCAAAAATAAAAACTAATAAAAAGCAAATGATTATAACAAAATTAATAATTGTGATTTGTTATTCAAATATATATATATATATATATACACACACCACATAATCAACATTATGATAAAAACAATTATTAATTTTAACTATTTAAATATTGATTCTTGATTTTTTTTTCAAACAAGAAAAAAGCGGTAACAAAATTTTTAATATTTAGCAAATAAATTAAAAAAAATATTTTTCAATAAAAAAGGATTTTTATAATTTTTGAAAATTTACAAAAGTTTAGATTGTTTTAGTGAACAATATTATTTATAATATATTATATATAAATTATTATTTAATTATAACTTAGCATTTATAAATATATGATTATATATTAGATAAATAATTAAAAATAAATTTAAAATTATGAAAATTTTAATTAAAATTCCTGTACCTTGTACGGGCTAAAAAAGCTAGTTTTATAGATTGTAATATATATATATATATATATATATATAGATATGATTTGGTACTTTTGAAGTCATATATTCTTTGACCATTGTAACTTATTCAAAATTTAATGAAACTATGATATTTTTATATTTATACAAGAATTGCGATTCTCTGAGTTTGAACAAAAAAAATGTGCGATACTATTAATTGAGAATATATTTCAAATTCAAAATGGACACTTATTCTCAACGATAAAGATTTTAAATCTAAAGGGTATACATGAGTTCTAAGGTCCCATCCAAATTGTAAGCCTTCCTTATCTTAAAGACTTAAAAGTGTCAAATTGTAATAGGCTGAAATCTCTCTTTTCTTCTATGCTTGCTCCAAATTTGCCGCAATTGAAAGTTTTGGATATAAAGTGCTGTGAGGAGTTGGAAGCAATCATTGAAATGGACCAAACTTCAATAGCAACATCATGAAAGGGTCATCTCCAACCTATTTCCTTTCCTAGTCTTCAATGTATATGGATTTTTGGGTGCAGCAATTTGAAAAGCTTGTTTCCTATTAGTGTCACTCGTTCTCTTTCAAACCTCGAAAGAATCGAAATTGGAGGGGCTTCTAAACTAGAGCAAGTCTTTGGGTATCAAGGTGAACTAAACATTGAAGATGATCAAAAGGGAATAGTGCTCCCTAAATTCGGACTATTGAATCTTTCTGAGCTATCAGACCTAAAGAGTTTTGCTCCAATTGGTTATCATTTCCGATTCCGTACTTTGACGTTTTTCAAGAAAACCAAATCTCCCAAGTCGACCGCAAGTGTCATCATGGATTCAAAACATCCTGTGCATGCCATAACAGAGGTACCTATCCGACTTTTTTTCTAACTATTATGCTTAATTAATTAATTTGTTGTTCTTGATCATATTGATAATAATGATGAAACGATGATGGAAACAAAAGTTATGTTAGTATATAACTACATATTATTTGCATACACGTAAATATTTTCTTTAGTTTTAAAATTTGAATTTTTGGTTACTACATTTATTGGTTTATTTATTATTTATTATAAAAAAATGTATTTCCATAGACAAAAAATCAAAATATAAACTATTCGTATTTTAGGCAAATAATGTACAATTAACCGCATAAAGCTTGCACTTTTTTTTTTTCATTCTTTTTTTTCTTTTTATAATATAATTAAAAAGAATTCGATTAACCATGCTTATCATAAGTAGTGATTATGGTATATGAGTCATAGGGAGGGGGATTTTTAATTTCTAGTTTTAAATTTCAAATTAAAGCCAGAAAATCATTCTCCTTTTATAAAGCAAAAACGCTAGTCAGGTTGCAAAGCGTCCAAGAGTTCCCAAAAAAAAAAATTCATGTCAATGGAAAATTTGGGAAATTCTTTAATTATTAATTTTTTATGAACTTAATAGTATAAGAAAGTATTATATTCCGATAAAAAATCATTGAATTAAATCAAACAAAAAAATTGACACATAATTAAATAAATTTAATAAAAAATAAATTAAATTCATATATGATGAGGATTGAATTTAAAATTTTAATATTATCAGATTTATAAATATTAGAATGTTGATAATGCACGAGGTACTTCCAAAAACACAAAATATCATTTTATCTATAATATATCCTCAAAAAAAAAAACTAAAAATAACAATTTAAAAAAAAGTATAAAAAAGTGTAATAAGATTTATAAGCTGAATTAAAT